ACATACATTAAAAAAATGATACATTCAGTAAAAATAAAAATAAAATCATCCTTGATAATGACTAAATGTATAGCAGAAAACGCTCAGACATAGAAAACATTCGGAAAATGTCTAAATAATTTATGCCCCCCCCCAAATTATAAGAACACATGAAAAATAAATAAAAATTTATCAGCAGTACCTCGTCAGTCGTTTTCACAAAGCTTGTGTAAAAGAGGGATTGCTGCTTAAAATACACTATATATATATATATATATATATATATATATATATATATATATATATACGAAGTTAGTCGATGACATGAAGGTGTAAAACAGGCAACATGACAAATTGATTTTCAAAACTCCAAAATAATTGTGGTCTGAAGTTGGTCTTCATGTTGCCTGTTTTACACCTTCATTTCATCGGCTAACTTCGATTGAATAAATACAGACGACTTCAGTTATACCAGTAACTGCATTAATTCAATTTTTTTAATGAAAGTACCTTAATGTAATTGAAGAAAATAGACTCTGTTACATCTAAACATGAAGGTGTTTTGCTCCATTCTAACTGAACGCTTTTTCTGATCGACCAACTGATACGTACATATATATATATATATATATATATATATATATATATATATATATATATATACCCACAGCAATACACACGCTTACACATATCATACTCACTCCTCCCTAAGAACCAAATAACACACAAACAAACACTAAACAGAGACACATCCAATCACCAGGTCCAATAAAACTGTCAAACTGACAGAGAATTCAGAGAAGCATGTATCTGTCCAGCTCTTATCTCAAATAACAACTTCAAAGAGACTGTTTGACCAACACAAGGAATGTTAAAAGATTCATGTTAAAAGATAAAAAAAAAGAAAAAAAAAACAAATGAAAACTACAGACAAAAGATCATTTACTCCATCAAGACATTCCTTTCTGTAGTTTACTGCTACCAGCAAGCAGAAATATTTCTTCTCCTGATGATGGCCATTTTGGCCGAAACTAGTCGAGGAATCTAAATGGAATAATAATAAAAAAACGAAAGAATATTAATCTATATATATATATATATATATATATATATATAATTTTAAATACTCTTTAATCACTCTTACATATATAAAAGCAAATACTATCTTTATATCATCTTGGCTATGACGATAAATTACATCATTCTGGAAACCTCCTGATCGGGATTTTTTGAGAACTGTAGGACTACCTCTTAATTGCTGTTTTTCTAAGGTCCACTCTGACCCGCGTTGGTACCTTCTGTTAACCTCCCATCTAAGAGCAAATTGTTAACTCCCAAACTAGGATCAAAACACTATGAAAGTATAAAAATATATTTTTATCGTAAAAAGTACAAGTAAATACATTTTTATAGTAAAAAATATAACCAGCAATACATATTGGAAAAATAATGTTACCAGCAGTACCTTTTTGAAAAAAAAAAAAAAAACTTACCAGCCATACATTTTTGTAAAAGAAATTAATAATGCTCCCAAGAAAATACAATTTCGACATTAAATGACCCATAAGGAGTTGTTATGTCACTAACCAATCAAACAAACAAGCAATATATATTTACAAATATTCTTTTCTGCACATGCATTTACAAAAATGCAGATTTAAATAAATAGTGTTTATATGTCTGTAAATTTTTGTGTGATAATATCCTAGGATTTCTTCCTCTCCTTCATAAATTGCATCTAAAACTATTATTTGTGGACTCAAAAATGGAAGTGAAACTGAAAGTGAAAGTAGGCTAGACAAGCAGAAAAATCAGATATTAATGAGAAAAGAGGTGAGTGGAGTATAAACGGATTAGAATCGCTTTGCAGAAAACAAATGGCCTTCTGGAACAGGCGTGGCGAAATCTATTCAAAGGAGAACGCCTGACTGAGCCGAAGACCGGACGGGGTAGGGTAAGTGTTCCTTGAATAGAGAAATCAGCTTGAAGCAGCGTTGAATTCTGAGGTCCCCGCAACAATTTTTGAAGCGGCCTCAAAGAGAAATACGAAAAAAATTATATTTTCCTCTATCACAGATTCGATGCTTCTAGACTGACCGTTAAAGACAGATCTTTTTTTTTTTTTTGCAATCATCCTTTTTTTTTCTTTCTTTATTTGAATTCCTTCGATGGAACATTGACAATGGTGATCTTTTATCACCTTCATTATGCTAATCTGTGTGACGTGTTCACCGCATGGCCTGGTCAGAATTTCCTTTTCTTTATAGAACTTAGTAAGATATATTTTGTAATCCCTGTTCTGACACACAATTATACAAACTCGTTAGCTAGAACACGCGCTTCTTTCGTGTCTTTCCCTTTTGCCTTTAATATGTCCTCTGAATACCAAATTTTCTAAGCCGTCTTTCCTCATTATATGCCTAGAGATTGCAAATATTGCTTTCAAATGTTATAAGTGTCCCTTTTGTTTCACTTTTTCCATGGTATTCTCAGCATCCTTCTGTAGAACTACATTTCTATTGCCACAATCTATTCTTCATCTCTGATCAGATTGTTCATAATTCACTGCCTTATAGGTATTTCAGTACTTTTTTCTTTATTTTTAACGAAATTTTCCTATTTCTTAATAGTTTGCTTAGTTTCTGAGAGACACCTTTCCCTATTCTAATGTAAGAAATGAGATATTACATAACATTTCCGTACTTTTTTGTTTATTTCTAACAAAATTTTCACGTTTCTTAATACTTTGTTTCGCTTTTGGAAGGTATCCCCAAACTCCTTCGGATTTCGATGTGGCACGTTTTGTCCTCTTTTTAGACACTTCCGAAATATATAAAATTTGGCACTTGTTTGGTTTAGGTATGTCCAATTTGTAATTAGCATATTGGATTGTTCCTTTTGCTGATAAACATGCATTCTGTCTTCTTAAAACTCATGCTTTTCTTTACTATCTTTTCTAGGGGTGTGTGCTGTTACCTTTCTCATTCGCATATCTAATGTTGTTAAGATTGAGGCCAGCACGAATGAGTCCTGGTAGGTCATCTAATTCTCTCAGCATTGCTTCAGAATAGTGTTTGATTAGGTCCAATGAAAAGGCATATTCGCTGAATTAAAACATTTAAGCATATATGCAAGGAATTATGTCACGGGTGTAACAGCAAAATTGTCCAAATCGTGTAGCAAATAAATTGCCCAATGGTGAGATTAAGCTATGAACCGTTGTATCATCTTTAAAAAAATCATTAAAGATATCCTATAGAAATTCTCAGAGCTTTTTATAACACTACTGAACTCTCCTTTGACCAATAAGAATGTATAATTTCTCTCCACTTTAAACAGAAGAATCGTGATGAAATCGATCATAAATGAAAATGACATTTTCATCATTAATTAAACATAGCTAAGGATCGGAAGCTCATGAAGGATTGAAATAAAGTTAAATATATATATATATATATATATATATATATATATATATATATATATATATACAAAGAAGTATAGGGTTGTGTAAACGGATTAAATTCCAATAACCAACAAATACTATTCTTAAAAAAGATTGCTCAATACAGATTAGATGAAATATAATTATTTATTCTAAAATAATAACATAAATATGTTATAAAATCGCTAAAAAAATAGCCATTTAGTTTCAACACTTCTGGTGTCGTGTTGAAACATCATCACTTGATAAGGCACAAGAAGTGTTGAAACATAATTTTCGAATAAATAAATAAATATATATATATATATATATATATATATATATATATATATATTATTCAGGATCATTTTACAACTTTTTAAAGATGATGTTCGCCCTCTCTAACCTTCTAACTTTCTGCCCTGCAGTAAAAGCTGCTTCACAAGTTTCACATACGATTGCATTTTGAAGTCTTTTTTCATTTCTCTTTCGATTCTCATAGCTGAAACTCTTCTCTCACGTGCCATTCGCCTTATGAATTCCGTTGGGTCTTTTCTAATTGGGGTTTAGCTCTCTAAGTTGAAATGATGATCCCTCTTGATGTTGTCACCTCCTGATCCAATTTTTCTTTCTATTGCTCCCCCTTTTTAAAACTTATTCACCGCTCTCTTTATGGTTATTGAATAAACTTTGAAGATGGAAGCCAACGTATGAATGATATTACCATTGTTGAAGGCCTGAATGATCTTTATCCTCTCATCATTGCTCATTTGGGAAGACATTGGAACTGATAGAAAAAGACTTTAATCTGTTCTCTTTTTAGTTGAATAACACAAAGGTTTTTTTTAATAAGTCTTTAAGAAAAATGGTGTCAAGCTGGTTAAATGTTTTACCTGAAAACTTGGAAAAAAGAAACTCAATTAGTTTAGTGTTTTTTTTTTTTAAATATTAAAAATTTTGTGGGATGGACAATTATGCTGTTACACGATTTGGATAATTTTGCGTTTACACACGGTAACACTGCTTTTAAAATTATTCTCATTCGCTTAGAATATTCTAAAATAAATTTCCCACAGATGTCTTCAAGACCAGCTACACCGCCTTGATATACCGTAATTCCCAATGTATAATACAGATTTTTTTCTAAAAATAATGAGCAAAATTAGGGTGCGTATTATGCACAGCTACAAAAAATGTTTTTACAAAATTGACGTTTCATTGGTCGATTTCAGTTGCGAAGTGACTACTCACCACAAACATACAACAATTTGACACCAAACAAAGGGTGCGTATTATGTGTGAGTAGAAGCATTTTCCTACACTTTTAGCACAATTTAGCAAGGCAAATGTAAAGATTCTATCTTACAAGTACCGTAATTCCCTATATTTATCTTTAAAAATGCTTACAATCTAAACCAATTGTCTGACTTTAAATAATATGCAAAAGATTGAAAAGCTGTAAAAAACAAAACAAACAAACAAACAAACAAAAAAACAAGTCGATCAATCAATCCAATAGGAAAGGTTGTGTTTTAGTTTCAGTTTCAGCTGGCGACTGATCGCTGCTCTTGTCGGCTTCACTCGTTCCAAGCCATTT